AATATGTGCATCAAAAAAGTAAATTAAAAATCAATTTTTTTTTAAAAAAGAGGGACATATAAAGAAAAGCACAAAAAGATGGGAAGACACAAACATATAGAACTAGCAATATTATTCTAAATGCTACTTTCTCATACAGCTCATGACATGCAGAAATAAAATAATTCATAATTGAGTAACTGTGTACTTACAATCCTGAGGACTGCTATACTAGGTAATACAGCATACATTTTCTCCCAAACAATAAATTGAAATGTTAAAGCTTAAATATGTTTTCATGAAGAAATTAGTCACAACAGTATATGTTTGGATTTGTGATGCTGTTGACAATAAGAAAAAAAAATGATGTGCCTTCTGAGAGCTTTTGCAAAGCTTTTGATCTTCTACAGATTTCCTGTTTATAGAAGATGTTAATAAAGGACTTCATCATGGCCTTTGTTATATATTATATCTTTCAGTGCTGGCCAAAGCATTTTGCTGCCAGAAATGCCATATATTTCCTTCTATTTGTTCTTCCTGGAGCAGGTACATTTATCAGTGGGTGGGATGAAGTAAATAAATGCTACATTGGTTTTAGGAAAATGATGGCTCAACTGCTATTTCCAGTTTAAAAAGATTACATGGCAATTGATGTCAAAGGATATTTCCCAAGACTATCAAAGGGTAGTCCTTTTTCTAGTAGGTAGATCTTGGAGATGGTTTGACTTGGTGTAAGGAAACATCTTATTTTCTAGTCTAGTCTAAAAGATTAATACCACATCTGTTTTACAACAGAGAGCCGATATATAATTGCTTTCATTCCGTGGTCAGTCCAACACATTGTGGTCCCCCCGCCCCAAAACTGAACTCCAAGGAAAACAATTCCATGGCTATGCATAAAGAATACAAACTGGCCCATGAACCTTTTTTCTATGTCTCTGGTTTGTGGTTTAAATTATTAATTTATGAATAAAGAAGTTAAAATTACTATGACACTTTTTAAAAAACACCTGAAGTAAGACAACTGGGAGTAAGACTAAGGGAATAACCAGTTTTGGATTCACTGTTACACACATCAGGCACTCAAACTCTCATTGCTTGTCTTTACCATAGTCACTATGAATGTGTTTGAATCATGGCTGATTATGTTTACAAGTAATCCCCAATTCATGACTATAATTGGGACTGGGATTTCAGTTGTAAGTTATAGCAGTCATAAATCAAGGCACCCAATTTTACAGCCATTTTGGGGTGATCGTTATAAATTGCATTTCCCCCCCAAAATGGCAAAAAATGCAAACAACTGGCAAAAAAGTTGCATATTGCATTCATGTAACCATGGCATGCTGCAATCAGTCATTAATGTGAGTTGGTTGCCCAAAACCTAAAATGTGACTTCATCTGACTTTAAGCAGGTGTGGCACAAGATTTTATGTTGCCTGGAAGTGCTTTACAGGCTATATGGACTCTCTCTAAGGCCACTGTAAATAAACTGTTCTAAGTTGAGGACTACCTGCAATTTATTTGGAATTTATTAGATCATTTTGTTTCCTGAATAATTAGCAGTTTTTCTTTTTCTTATTTTGATTTTCCTGAAGTACTATATCTAGCAGATCCTTATACTGTATTCATATAACAAAACAGAAGTTAAATGGTGGATAAACATTGTTTTTTCCAATTGTAGATTTATATAGTTTGAGGCCATACCAGCACTTTTTGAATCATTAAATAGTCAATGAATACATACAGAATTGCTGATGTGCATATATATGGACATAAACTTATCCCTAAGAAGTACACTAAATAATTCAAATATTTTAGAAGCAATTGGAAGTTATCAGCCTTGATCTCAGTTTTTGCAATAAAAAGACTGCATGAAAAAAACTTCTAAATCTTCTTCCTAGAGTTATTCTTCTTCCTGGCGTTATTCCCACTTCTAGATAAACTTATAGTTAAATTTAAAGGAAAATAAGGTGAAGAGAGTTTTGAGTAGTCTTATTATTCTATCATTAATGTGAAAAGTTATCATGGTAACAGAGCAAAATTATCAGTAATGAAATGAGTAACAGCTATCACACAAGATAATATTTTGGGAAACTAATTGTCATTTCAGTAAGGTGACCAGACGTCCCGCTTTTGGCGGGACAGTCCCGCTTTTGAGCAATTTGTCCCGCGTCCCGCGGCATTTTTAAAAAGTCCCGATTTTTCATTCTGCTCCTGACTCCCGGCTGCCTCCTGAATCCCCGCTGATGGCTAGAGGGAAAAAAAAGTCTTTAAACTCTTGCCGCGGGGCTTCAAAGGGCCGACCTACAGCTGATCAGTGTTAAAAAAAAATGAATAGACCCATGTCTGCAAAAATAGAAAAAACAGCCCCTGTTAACAGCTTCCGCTAGGTTAATTAGCTGCAAAAAGCTGCAAAAAGTTCCTGGAGCAGATTTTTCCCCCCCTAGCTATACTGAAAACAAAGGCGAAAGCGAAACTAAACCTGCAAGGTGACAAAATGAGGCAGAGAGAGATTTCTTTCTTTTTCTTTTTCTTTTTCCTCACCAAAAAAGGTAGGTACAAAACTGCAAACAATGGGAAATTTTGGGCAAAAGAGGAGAGTTCAAGATTTTAAAACACAAAAGAAAAAAAGCTCTATTTAACTAGGGAATTGTAATAATTGAGATACTATTAATAATTGTATATTGTGTTGAAAGCAGAAATGGTTAAGTTGTGGTTTGGAGGAATATATGGGGGAAATTATTTGGTTTATTATTATTGGTAAATATAATTAATTGATTTGTAAGAAATTGGATTGCATGGAAATAATTGGAATATTCATGTTCATATTGATTAATATACAAAAAAGATAGTTATATAACTAATTGATTTATATTAAAATGTTGAATTTGTATTAAACAACTGTATTACATAATTACATAATTAACCAATGTGAGGATGGATATAAAAATAGATGACAATGGGAAGGAGTATAATATAGAATAGAAGGGAAAAATTGAATTTGATTAAGATTAGAGATGAGGATGAAGGGTAATATTGTTTTTTTAAAAAAATAGATGAGGAATAAATATGGCAAAAAGGAAATATAGAAATTGTAAATTTAATTGAAATGACTAAACGCTGTTTAAATTTGTGAACCAGCCAAATATTCTGTTCAAAGAAAATACATTGTATGTTTGTATGTGTGTTTCTAATTATTGCTATTTATTCATATTTGTTCTCTTTTATTCTTTAAAGTTTAACAATTCATTCTTAATCTTAATATCTTTATATTTGCTTGGGGTTGGCTTTCTTCCCTTTCATCTTTTTTATTGTACAGCAATCTTTCTCCTCAAACCTACCACCACTCTCTTTTCTTTCCTTCTTACTTTCTCTTCCCCCCACCCTCTTTTTCTCCTCCCTACTTCCTCTTCCTTTCTCCTTCTCCTCCTCTCTTCTTCCCTCTCTTACCCTTACTCCTACTCTAATTTCCATTCCTTCATCCCTCTCTATTGCTGTATCCTTTAATGCATATGGACTACTCAGAGGGCTGAAAAAGTTATTTTTGACTGGTCCTCACACTTTTGACCAGTCCTTGAACTTATGACTGTCCTCACATTTTACATTTTTGCCCTATCTTGTCACCATGGTGAAGAGAAGCAGTTGTGAAATGAGTGACATGGTTGTTAAGAATGCTGCATGGGCATAAATGTGAGGATGGTCATAAGTGTGAGGACCAGTCAAAAGTGCGAGGACCTGTCAGAAATGACTTTTTTCAGCCCTCTGGTTAATCCTTTTGTGCATATGGACTACTCAGAGGGCTGAAAAAGTTATTTTAACTGGTCCTCACACTTTTGACCAGTCCTCGAACTTACGACTGTCCTCACATTTTACATTTTTGCCCTATCTTGTCACCATGGTGAAGAGAAGCAGTTGTGAAATGAGTGACATGGTTGTTAAGAATACTGCACGGGCATAAATGTGAGGATGGTCATAAGTGTGAGGACCAGTCAAAAGTGTGAGGACCTGTCAGAAATGACTTTTCAGCCCTCTGAGTAGTCCCTATACACATAGCCATGGCCACCCGGTCACATGACCAGCTAGCCACGCCCACCCAGTCACATGGCCTCCAAGCCACGCCCACACAATAAGTCACGCCCACAATGGTGTCCTTCTTACCAATGTTAAAATCTGTTCACCTTACCCTATACACATAGCCATGGCCACCCGGTCACATGACCAGCTAGCCACGCCCACCCGGTCACATGACCAGATAGCCACGCCCACCCAGTCACATGACCAGATAGCCACGCCCACAAAATAAGCCACGCCCACAATGTCCCTCTTTACCAATGTTAAAATCTGGTCACCTTACATTTCAGCAAAGTAACAATGTGGACATAGAATTAGCATTTTATAATTCAGATTAGATGTTAACTCTGCAAATATCTGTTTCATTACCTAAATGTCAAGAAAACAGAGATACTTTCTGGACCAAAGCAGTGCTGTGCATAGAAACAATTCTAAAATATTTTCATTAGTAATAAAGCACCCTCCTATTCTTCATTTCACAAATAAAATAAAGGTGTGTGAATTCCAAAGTGTTCATATAATATCCAGTTTGACTCCAATTTCAGTAATGGATTTCATTGGAAATGGAAATGTCACCTATATACTTGCTAGAATTTTACATATGTCCATGTTTAGGCAAAATTCTTAGGTATCAGTTCTTTTGTCAGTTCCATTTATCCCTTTGACAAAAATAAAAAAAATAAAATGTTTATCAGGGAAGTAGTTAAAAGTCTTACTGCTTTTGTCTTACTTAAAAGACTCTGAAAAATAAAAGCAATAATAATTGTTAATAGCTATGAAAGGATATATGTAATAGTTACAAAAACTCAGTGTGTATTTTTGAGAGAAAAAGAGAGAGAAAATGGTGGAAACAGATAACAAAAGAGAGGAAAAAGCTCTATATTTGTAAGCAGTCTTAGATCTTAAAAATATGTAATGTTTCTGCTATCATTTCATTCCCATTGTACCTGAATCTGGATGCCAAGGGTCTGTTGCAGAAGACATTGGTTGGATGGTTTGTGGATTTGCTCCGCAATTGGATTCCACAAGTTCTCCTTCTGTGTAAATGTGAGAGGAGATATTGGTCTGTCTCAAGGCTGCCTTGAGTGGAGTAATCTGGTTGAACTGCACACGTGACAAGCAACCCGAAAATCCTGGTGTGTTATATTTATGGATGTCTTGATCAATCTTTCCGAGTTCTAAGGAAAAAACAAACAACAGAAATGAGTTTATAACAATTTGTTTAGCACAAAAACTTCACCGGTACCATAGGATCTTGCAAAGATAATTTGTAGCATTCACAAAGATAGTTTGTGAATGCAATCAAAACACTTTTTATCTCTTGGAATTTACCTTATTATAAGCCTAAAAATAAATCATTCTACAACTTCATTTTTTCCCCTTTTAGATAATCTGCAATCAAAACACTTTTTATCTCTTGGAATTTACCTTACTATAAGCCTAAGAATAAATCATTCTACAACCTCATTTTTTTTTTCTTTTAGATAACCTACCTTCCAATTTTTTTCTTTTTGCAAATAGCATATATACATTAAATGCAGAAAGATTTATCTTCTATAAAACAAGATCAATGCAAAACATAAAAATAATTATTAAAAACATGAAAACAAATAAAAGGAACTTTAAATATAATACTTTAAGTAGTAATCAATTGGCACTATCACTGTCTTCAGATTTGTTGAACTTTATGTAAATAACCATACTCAATTTCTTCATATATATAGAATGCAATTTCCCCATATACTATACTATAAACTATACTATAATACTATAAACATATATAAACACTATATGTTTATAGTATTTATTCTTCAAGAAAAAAAGCTGCAATTTTTTTAAAAAAACAAAATTTTACTTTTTTAAAAGTGTTTTGAATGCAGATACTTACAAAGGATAATTTCACTCTTAAATCAGTTGATGTGACTGCTTTTGCTACAATGATTGATCATGCATACGAGATTTAAAATATACAACAAACTATATTGTCCAGCTTGTTTAGGCTCCTCAGGCATCATTATGCAGCAACAATTCCAATTTTCATGATTGGGAAAAGCAGAGAGAGTATATGGATGACAATTAGAAAACTGTCTATAACACAGACTTCTAAAGTTGATGTCTTTTTCTCATTTCTATCCAGTGAAGAATATACTAATGGGATTTTCTCATCATGCACACAAAGAGAGGAAAAACAATCCATCAGAATATTTTTTTTCTTAATTAAAACAAAACCATAATCCAAAAGTTCTTCTTCATAGTTGAATTAAAATACTACATATCAGTTCCTGAGTCAATAGAACTCTAACAGCATAACATTCAATATAGTGATGTCTATTCTGTTTATGCCCTAATCTGTGTTACCTTAACTCTGGTAAGATTCTGCCCAGCTGAATGAGACTGATAAAGTGTGATGTAAGGGTTCCAACCTATCATTAATATGTTAAGAAAGGGCTCCTGAAGAGATGATTGTCCTAATTTTCTTCGCCTTGAAGAAGCTGGAAGACGTCTTGGTGCTGGGGACTGTTTGTGGAGCCACTTGTGCAAATATTTGTTCTCTCATTATTATGTCAAATCAAATAAACCTTTTGCTATGGCTTTTGGGCCAGAAAGCACAATAATAAATATATAGGTTGTAATTATTTTAAAAAGTGTTAAAACATGGAATAATATTACATATGTTGTTATAGTAACAATAGTACAAATAATAGTGACAATGAGCAAAATTTGTGCTAAATCTCATAGGATGTATACAACAAATAATAGCACAAAATGAGACAATCTGGAAAAAATATCTTACATTTCTGGTCAGATAGAAGCAGTGACAGGTAGCAATAGCAATAGGACTTAGATTTATATACCACTTCACAGTGCTTTACAGCCTCTCTAAGTGGTTTACAGATATTGGCCCCAACAATCTGGGTCCTCATTTTACGAACCTCAGAAGGATGGAAGACTGAATCAACCTTGAACCACTCAGAATTGAACTCCTGGAGTGAGCAGTGAGTTAGCCTGCAATACTCCATTCTAACTACTGTGCTACCATGAATCAGATAGGCATGGTGCTCCCTACCAGGTAGTTCTTCATTATTGTATCATTATTACATTTCCAGCCCTGCATTTTGCCTAAAGATGGGGAGAAGAATGTGTCATTTTGTGATTGATACTTTGTTACAGGTTTCCAAGGATCTAACCCAATGATTCCAACACGAGGTATGCTTGATTCAAGATATCTTTATTCATATCATTTGTCTCTGTTACAGGTCATCGTCTGGAATGAATGTGGGGCCCCTGGACTGTACCTTTTATACCTGGGAGGTGGAGTTAAGGTAAGGAGGGGTCAAGGGAAGGGTCTGTGGGTGGATGTTAACCCTTGCTGTACCATAGACAAGGCATGTTAGTCATTTACATCTAACAAATCCCCCTCTAAATGTCTAACATGATGAGGTGTGTGTGCAGATTTCATTTGTATACCTAATTTCGTGGTGAGGTAGGCATGTTGCTTGCTCTGCAGAGGCTTGGTCAGTATGTCTGCAATCTGCTCAACAGTCTCGCAATGCACAGCTTTGATAAATCCGATGCTCGATAACTGCCTGATGTGTTTATGCTTGATGTCAATATGCCTTGACTTTTGCCCCACTGCGTCTGCCATAGAGATGTCTATTGCTGCCTTGTTTTCTTCGTGTATTATGATTGGGTAGACTGGCTCGATCCATATGTTAGAGAGCAGGTCATCGAACCATGTTAGGTTGTTTGCTGCCTTGGACAGGCATATGTATTCCGCTTCTGCTGTGGAGGTGGCAACCAGGTTTTGTTTTCCGGTATACCAGAGCACTGGGCAGTCGTTGATGAAAAACACGTAGCTGGACGTGTTCTTTCTGCTCTTCGTGTCTCCAGCCCAGTCGGCATCTGCGTAGCAGGTTAACATGGGTTCTTTGGAGCTGGATGGTTCCAGGTTTAGGCAAGCATCAGCGCTGTACTTAAGGTATCTGAGAATTCTTTTTACTCCTTTCCAGTGATATGTGGTGGGTTCACTGACGTGTCTGGAAAGGAGGTTGACCGCCAGGATGATGTCTGGTCTGGTCCAATTGGCTATGTAAAGCAGTGACCCTATAATGGACCTATACAGTGTGTTGTCCTTAAATGGCTCACTTCGCTCATACATGTGCTTTAGGAAGTCGGCCTGCATGGGTGTCTCGCAGGGTTTGGCTTCATTCATATTGCACTTATGTAAGAGTTCCAGTATTTTTTCTCTCTGAGAGAGTTTGAACCCGTTCTGTGTTTTGGTTATCTGTACCCCTAGGTACTTATTTACTTTCTCAATGATTTGAGCATGAAGTGCCTGCCTAGCTTCTCTGCAAAGGTATCGCACTTTCGTTTGTGTGGGCCAAAATATAAAATATCATCCACGTAAACTAATACGTACTCTATTGATGTATCTTCCTTCTTTAAGAAGAAGCAAAGGTCGGCAAAGGTGGGTGCGAAGCCCATATCCTTGAGTATTGCTGCCAAGCAATCGTACCACCTCTTTCTGGACTGTTTCAAACCGTACAAATTTTTGTTTAATAGCAAAGTGTCCCCTTGCATTTTGTTTCTTCTGGGGGGTGCCTTTACAAAGATTTTCTTATCAAGTTCTGCATGGAGGTAGGCTGTTTGCATATCAAACTGATACACTTCGAGTCCTAGGAGAGACCCTACTACCAGTGCAGTCTTAACACTTTCAGACCTGACTGTTGGTGAGTATGTGTCTGTGTAGTCCTCGGGGTACTTTTGGGTGAACCCCTGTGCCACTAGTCTAGCTTTGTATAGTGCCTCGTTGTTTTCGAGCTCTTTGATTTTGAAGACCCATTTAGTCCCAATGGCTGTCTTGTCGCTGGGCGCCTTAGAGGGGGTGTACATGTTTAATTCCTTCAGGCTGGCCATCTCTTTGTCCATGGCTTGCTCCCACCTATCTCTTTCCTCCAGTGGCAGCCTGAGTACCTCTTTGTACGAGTTGGGTGTTATTCTGTCAGTGTGTATGGATAGGATGTAATCATCGAGTCTTTTGGGGTTTTGTTCCTGTTGGACCTGACAGGCCTGTTGGGTGGTGCCTCACTGTTGTGCATGTACCTGGCCTCTTTCTTGGTGAGTGTGTCTACCTTTATTGTGGGATGATCTTCCTTCCATTCCTTAGTAGCTATTTCATGGTGCCTTGGTTTGCGCCTTTCGTGTTTGTGTGTGTCTGTTTTGTCCTGATTGCCCTCACCTCTTCCCCTATCTGTGTCTTCCTGTCTGTGTAGTATTTCATTGAGGTGTATCCTGGACCAGTTTGCGTTTTCATGAAACACTGCTGTTCTAGATATAATGAATCTGTTATCTCTGTCGATAAATCTATACCCCTTAGTCCCGGTGTCACAGCCCATGCCTTAACCTCCTCGAGACCTTTTCTCCCTTACGCCTGAGTTGCTTTGGGATGTGTACATCTGCGGTTACACCAAATATGTGCAGATGTCCTATTTGAGGCTTTCTGCTGTACATTATCTCATAGGGTGTTTTGTCTACTACACTGGACCGAAGTCTGTTCAATGTATAGTTGGAGTATGCAAGTGCCTCTGCCCAGAATGATTGCCCTAGCCCTGCATCTTCCAACGTGCACCTGGTCATGGTCTGCAGTATTCCGTTTTTTCTTTCTACCACTCCATTCTGAAATGCGGAAAACGGCGTTGATTTAAAGTGCAGTATCCCGCGTTCCTTCAACCAATTCAAGAACTCCCTGGATAGGAATTCGGACCCTCTGTCTGTCATTATCTGTCTTATTTTTGTGTTATGTTGTGTTTCCACCCTTTTGTAAAACTCCCTAAATTTCTGGAATGCTTCATTCTTGTGTCTGAGTGTGTACACGAACCCATATCTACTGAAGTTGTCTACTATGGTTAAGAAGTATCTCTTCTTGTATTTTATGGATGGTTTCATGGGGCCCACCAGGTCCATGTGAACCAAGTGGAAAGTGGACTTTGCGTGTGGCTCTCTTGGGTCTGGGCTTGGTTTTGATCTTAGAGCATTTACATACAGAGCACTCTAGATAGTTTTACAGCTCTTTATTTTTAAACCGTTTGAACATTCCAGCATTTTTTGTATGACTGGGAAACTGGCGTGACCTTGCTTTCGGTGTAGCAAGTGAGCGCAGTCATTGTGCATGGGCCTG